TGGCCGCTGATGGGCCACAACAGATTCATCCAGGGATCCAGAAACTTTTGGGGGGGCTTTTCCACCAACATCTGTAAAGTGAGAGGCAAGACCAGAGGGAGCAGTACTCTTAAAGAAATCTAACCAAATTAACCTTTCTGGCCAAATTATGACAGCTTTGCAGCAGCTGCTGCTCAAGAAATGAGGTTGTGTCCCTTGAACGTCAATGCCCGCAGAAGAGGTTGTGGTCTCTCTCCAAGGTCCTGAATCTGCCCTCAGTCGGTTCTTATCTGAGCCCTTGTTGGTATGGATAACGGCAGAGTGATGGAACATGGTAATTATAACTATACTAGCTGATAACCCTGCATTGCCCAGGTATTTATTTATAGGTGGAGCACTCACATAATCTTGAAGGCAAGCCATTCCACTGGTTAATTATTCTGTTAGGAAGTTTCTCCTTAGTTCTAGGAAGACGACTCTCACCTAGAAATTTATTATGCATATACGTGCAAACTCCAGGCCCTTTTATTGCCTCCTCCATGTGTTTGCGTTCTTCCAGAAGAAAAATGACAACGGGATTTCTCTTCTTCGTCAGCACCCCGCTTCCCAAATTGCTACATTTCCTGAAGCATGTAAATATGCACGGAGTAGGAATATGAATATTCAGAGTCAGCTTTCCAGCCTTTGGAATCAGCTGCTGGAAGCCACCGTCTCTCCTATCTTCATTTCACAGATGAGTGTTAACCAGCGAGGACCATCATTCACCCTCTGCTAAAAATCAGCTGCTCCACAGCCCAGCAAGCTCCTGCAAATTCTGCCTTTCATAGATATAATAAGCAGGTTAGACAGCGGTGATCCCAGAACCACCGAAGGGACCAAATCAAGCCAAGTTTGAGTTTGCTAAAAGAAGTATCCCACAAGAGAGTTAGCACCACACATTAAACCAGGGATTCAAACCTTTGGGGGCACTGCAATGCCACAGAGGGTCTGTGAAGGCTTGAAGAAATGTTATGATCTAAATGTTGTGGCCTGCCAGCTGCCAGTGGAGCTGGCGGCAGACTCTGATGATGAAGTGGGGGAGGAACTTGGGCCAGTGCTGGAGTCTGGGTAAGGCTCTGATGGATACTCTGCGTCGGACAGAGACAGGGCTGTCCAACATTTTCCATCCACCGGAGAGGCAGCTGCTTTTGGAGGCTGATAAGAGTGAGGAGGAAGATGCATGTATGCGCAGAGCTGTTAGGAGAGGAGAGCAATGGAGGATAAGGAGTCGGCTCGGGAAGCAAAGCACACATGGATGCTGAATGGCTCCTCCCTGGGGAATAAATAGAAGGAAAGGGGAGTGGTGGTCGTAGGAGACAACAGTTCGTATTTCGGAAGATTTTGTTCATTGTGTTCCGTGCCTCAGAGACCGCTTGTCAGAACTTACTTTGCAGCCTTTCAGCTGGGAGTTCACGTGCTTGCAATTATCGCAAGGAATTGACAAGATCTGTTGTTGCAGTTTGAAGGACCATTGCCTGGACTTTTGGGTAGGTGAATGCAATTATTTCACAAGAGGTAAATAAAGAGGGGCTTTTCGTGACAAGGAGTCTGTTTCTTGCTTGGTTAAGCGTATCAGGTAGGATGAGGGAAGTGAGAAACCATCAAGGGACTAGCAATTGCCAAAGACTTTTCTGAGCTTCTGGAGCAGTGTTTCTCAAGGTTGGCCATTTGAAAAAGGGGTGGACTTCAACTCCCAGAATTCCCCAGCCAGCATGCATCCTTCACCTTTGACTCCTGCCACCAGGAGCATGCTGGCTGGGGAATTCTGGGAGTCAAAGTCCACCCATCTTCAAGCGTCCAAGTCTCTGTTCTGGAAGGATCCTGAAGATGTTGCTGGAGATTGGCCATTAAAGGTCTCCTTTGGAAGATCTGACTGGCAATGGAAGCAGAAGGCATCTCAAGAGATAAATGGCTTGGATTCCAACCTTGAAAAGACCTTCCAAATTCAAAAGGGAGTCTTCTCCCCCCCCCCTTCCTCCCAGATCTCAGGAGGCTTGATCCAAGGAAGTGAATAATATACCTCTTGCATGGAGACAAGACTCGGCAGTTTGGCGTTTCGAATCCCTAGCGCCGTGTAATGGAGTGAGCTCCCGTTACTTGTCCCAGCTTCTGCCAACCTAGCAGTTCAAAAGCATGTAAAAATGCAAGTAGAAATATAAGAACCACCTTTGGTGGGAAGGTGACAGCGTTCCGTGCCCCTTCGGCATTTAGTCATGCCAGCCACATGACCACGGAGATGTCTTCGGACAGCGCTGGCTCTTCAGCTTTGAAACAGAGATGAGCAGTGCCCCCTAGAGTTGGGAACAACTAGCACTTATATGCGAGGGGAACCTTTAATCCCCTTGGGTGTATATACCAAGCAGAAGCATTGTACTCCCCAGTTATGCCAGGAGATCCTGACCTCTACTAGGCAAATTCCTGCCTGGGGAGTTTAGCAGAAAAGGTCTTTGGGTCTTGCAGGGGGTCTCAGGTGAGGGAGGAAGACCACTCCTCCGATCAGCCTGTGTGGACAACCTGAACCTCTCCAGGCAGAAAGTCCAGTTGAAGGAATAGAAGGTAAAGAATCTAGCTGACTGCATCTCGACTTGGAGGAAAAGCAGGCCTGGTTTATACTTGAATGGGAGACCACAAAGAAATCCCACCCCACGGGGAAACTGAACAGCCTCCTTATGGACTGGCAAGCCATTTCGGACTCCTAGTACATCGAATTCTGCCCCAATTCCCAGCAGCCTCTTCATATTTCAAACCCCACCATGCTGACAGGGCTCAACTGGGCTGAGACTGGACCAGTTGATGGACCCCTTCCTCTTCTTCCTCTTCCTCTTCTCCTCTCCTCCTCCTCCACCCCTCTTCCTCTGCTCCTCCGTCCTCCTCCCTCCTTGTCCTCTCTCCTCCTCCTCTGCTCCTCCCTCAACCTCTGCTCCTCCCTCCTCTCCTCCATTCCTCCCTCTCCTCTTCCACCCCTCCTCTGCTCCTCCCTCCTTCTCCCCTCTTCTCCTCTGTCCTCCCTCCTTCTCCCCTCTGCTCCTCCCAACTCCTCTGCTCCTCCCTCATCCTCTGCTCCTCCCTCCTCTCCTCCATTCCTCCCTCTCCTCTTCCACCCCTCCTCTGCTCCTCCCTCCTTCTCCCCTCTTCTCCTCTGTCCTCCCTCCTTCTCAACTCTGCTCCTCCCAACTCCTCTGCTCCTCCCTCATCCTCTGCTCCTCCCTCCTCTCCTCCACTCCTCCCTCT